GGGAGCGGATGTTGAACTGCCTGAGCCAACTGGAGTTGGACTGAGGTGGGAAAAGGAGGGCTCTCTTTTGACCAACCTGGAGCTGGGTTTGGCCAGGAGGCCGCTGAGTGCCTTTGCTCTCTCCCTGCAGGCTGCTCGGCAGAATGGCCACGGAGGAGCGGCACCTCTCCTCCAGCTGTGGGTCCTTCATCAAGACCGAGCCCTCCAGCCCATCTTCTGGCATCGACGCCATCAGCCACCACAGCCCAAGCGGCTCCTCCGATGCTAGCGGTGGCTACGGCATTGCCATGGGTGGCCACCCCAATGGCCTAGACTCACCACCCATGTTCAATGGCACAGGGATTGGCAGTGGGTCCTGCCGTAAGCGTTACGACGACTGCGCCAGTGCCATCATGGAGGACTCACCCACCAAGTGCGAGTACATGCTCAATGCAATCCCCAAGCGGCTGTGCCTGGTGTGCGGGGACATTGCTTCTGGGTACCACTACGGCGTGGCTTCCTGTGAGGCGTGCAAAGCCTTCTTCAAGAGGACTATTCAAGGTATGGTGGGAAGGGAGGGAAACTGAGACATTCACTCCATAGCAGTGGAGGCCCTAGACATTACTGAGAGTGCAGCATTTCCATGTCATATAAAAGGGGGCAAGAGAGGGTGAATGTAATGCACCTAACCCTCCATCCTTTTGTCTGCCTCCTCTCTCCTCCTGCCCAGCTCTGGTCCTTCCAAATCAACCTGGACATGAAGTTAGGCTTTGTGGTGGTAGGAACCCTTGCTAAGTGCCTAGCCTGGCTGGCTACCAGATCTGTGTATCTGGCCTAGTGGATCTTCCTGCCTCTGCTAGTGGCACTGATAATCCTGACAATGTGGCTGTTAGTGGCATGAGGCCTGGAAAGGAAATGCTTTGCACTCTAAAGGTGGTTTTAAGGCCCATTTGAAGAGTGGATGCCCTCTGCCTAGAGACGTCTGCACCTTGAGGTGAAAGCTCCAGCATTACAGGAGTAGAGAGGTTCTCACTCTGTCCTACCAATCTTAATTTGTGGCCATGGACTTCATACAGACCTCACTACAAAGCTGGACCGGGCACTTGGATGGGAGTCAATCCTGTGTTCCTCCTTTTCCAGCTCCACCAACCCTTTTCTTTAAGATGCAACTTCTTTGAAGATAAAAAATTTAGGCACTGAAGGAGCTAGAGATACTCAGTTTTTGTCAGTCTTGTTAAGAATGAGAAATTCTTCAGCTGATTTTGAAAACCTCAGTGCATGTATGGGTAGACGAATTCAAGTGCATTGCTCCTGCACGTACAATTCGCATGTGAGGTGTATGGCTGTGTCCTGACTGCCAAAGGTATGCTGCAGATGTGCACATATGCAGGTACAACAGTATAGCCAAAAGTGGGAGTGCTTCTAGGCAAGCTCCAATATCCGTGGATGCTTGGGTGTACTTATACAAGCAGGCCCTGTGTGAGCAAACATGCCTGGATGCAGAGATGCTCCCTTTATTTCCTACACTCTCTAACTGGAAAAAGGACAGGATCATTCACCTTCCAGTGGAAAGTGTATAGAGTTGACCCAACCATAGTGGGGACAGATGTCCAGTGAGCAAGCAGCTGTGTGTGTACTTGACTGTTGGCTGGGGTCAATCCACCATACCAACACTTCCTTGTCTCCTGTGAAATGAAAGAAATGCATCTGTGAGAAGAGCGTTTAATTTTATTTTTGTTCATTGAATGGGCCTGATTATACTCTGTCCCTGGGGATGTTCAACTCTGGAGTGGACAGAGCAGTACAGGGTGCAGTTCAGCCCAGGTCGCTGCAGAATTCACTGTTTCTAGCCTAATGTCTTAGATTCTAGATGTGTCTCCTTACTATCCAGCTGTGGAAATAATCACTCTGTATTGCCCTACTGACTCTTCCTCTTTTATTATGCCATGTGGAAAGCATGGCCATCTCTAGGGTATTGGCCTGTTCCCTGGCAGGGTTTCTGTGATTTGCCGTTGCTGAATATCCTGTGATTGAATGTGAACTTTTACTTGGACTCCTGACTTTGGCATTGACTCTGTCCCTCCTCCAGCACTTGGACATGTTCCCAGTGTTTCTTTTTGGCACATTCAGGTGCTAAAGAAGGGATAAGGTAGAACTCTGAAGCAAAGCCCTAGGGGCTCCTTATATAGGAAGAGACTGAAAAACTGACCCCTCAGGGGAGCAATATTGGAGCATCTCTGTGGCAGAGCAGAAGAGAGGCCTAACCTGGGAAAAAAAGAAAAATACCTAGGAACTTTTGAAGAGTTTTCAGAGAAAATCAAAAGAAAATGATCCAAAGTGGCAGTAACTAGAGCCTGTATCAGCCTGGGTGATATATCAGCTGACTTAATCCCAAGAAGGGAGAGTGCTTCCTTCCAACCCCCTCTCCCCAGCACAGCCATATTCTCCCTGTGGTTCCCTAACTGATTGCCTGCTAACATGTAACAGATGGGGGAAAGGAATAAGCAGAGATTTCTCTCACCCTGTCATCAGCTTGGGCTGGCGACTGAGGTACCAAAAAGCTTTTATTCCCAAGAGTGGAAGAGTCGAGTGTGCCTTGCCTGAGGGTGAGCAATTTCAGCTACGGAGCTGAAGGCTGAGCCCAGGGGAGTGAGCAACAAATAGGGCTGCAGAGTTTGGTTGAGTCAAGAAAATGCACCGTTTTCAGGGCTCTGCTATGGTGCATGCAACATCCAAGCACAGTCCTGGGTATTCAGGGGAAAAGGGTTTAAGGATCACATAAAAGAGATGGCAAATGGCAAAAGCCTTTCCAAAATGTGTTCATCCTGCAACTCTGTTACATTCAGTAGATGTGTTAAGCATCTAACTGAAGAAGTGGGAAAATATCCATCCAAGCTGCCTAACATTAATATAGGGTGTGCAGAAAGCATGCAGATGTGTATGTTATACAATTGCATTCCCTGCTGTATCAAAAGACTTGCCATGATTCTGGTATCTGGGAATTGTGTTGACTCAATGCTTTGATCACAGAGATGGAGCTACCACCCCAGGATTTCCTAGGTGCTCCAGAGATGCAGTAGGTAAATTCATCATCAGGCTTTTGTGGTCTTGGACCAGCCACTTCACTTCTCTCTGCTTGAGTACTGAAAGATGAAAAACATTATAATTACTATTATGAGACTTAATTAAGTAGCCCTACATTTGGTAAGTTTATTATAGGTTATAGGTGTAGATGGAGCTACCACCCCAGGATTTCCTAGGTGCTCCAGAGATGCAGTAGGTAAATTCATCATCAGGCTTTTGTGGTCTTGGACCAGCCACTTCACTTCTCTCTGCTTGAGTACTGAAAGATGAAAAACATTATAATTACTATTATGAGACTTAATTTAGTAGCCCTACATTTGGTAACTTTATTATAGGTTATAGGTTATAGGTTATAGCATGCTGCTATAAAATGGTTCTAAATCTGTCCTGGATGATTAGACTCCTGCAACCCTATCTAGCTACCCCTGATCATGAAGCAGAGCTTCATGCGAAGTCCTCCCTCAAGCTACTCCCCTCCCCTGCTACAAATGACCCCAGTCTGCCTATTGGATTTTGTAGCTGCATTAACTCATGTAAAATCTGTATGTCTTGAGGCAGGAGGATCCCACAGCAGTGGGAAGAATGGACATCCAAGCTGCAGAGCTGCTTTGAGTCTGAAGCTCTGCAACTCACTCACCTCCTTAGCCAGGTGAGGCCAGGCTGTCCTGGACAACACGAGGGCTGGTGCTTTTCAAGTGACGGGGAGAAGATAAGCTGAAAGCCAGCATGGACATGGCTGGTTATCTCTGAGGTCACTACTATAGCTATGTGGGAGTTTTCCATCAGTAGGATTTTTCCAAAGAAAAGCAGAATTTTTACCAAGTCATGTTTCCCCAAGGAAAATTTTGATGATAGGAGAAAATACAAGAAGTCAGGAAAATCCAAACCATTAATTCACTTCAAGCTGAATTGGAGTGGTTGCTTTTGCTGAACTAAGCCAGGATCATACAACACATCCTAACCTGTCCCACAGGTTATGGGCGGGTCACACCTGTGACCTCTCTCATGTTGTGTTATGTGGCCCAAGGGAAGGATCAAGGCCTGGAAACCTATGTGTCATTTCCACTTTGCAGCACTGGCAATGCTTGAGATGGAAAGGCAAAAACCTGAGATGAGATGACAGCACATGCCGCTGGGCTGCAGGCCTTTCTCTCTGAACATGTTATTTTGAACCCCAGGGCTGGACTTCCCAGACTTTAAGGCAGAGTCAGAAATTCTGAACTGACCTGAAGCATTTTCAGTCAGCTAGGCTGTCTGACAAAATCTCAATCCTATTTCTCTATCATTGTATCGCTTTGTGGGAACTGTGCTTTGAGTCCCCATTATATTCTAGCTGCCGTCTGCATTTACCTCTGTGATGCAAGTGTCCTCCACAAAAACACGTGCCATGGACATCAACTGACTTTGTGCATATTGCGGAAGGTGCAATCTAGCAAAGATAGGGAGAGAATCTGAGTTTCAGGCATGTTGAAGTATGTTGCTACTGGTGCTTAAGAGAGATCCAATTTGAAACCAAGAATTTCATATTAGTTGAATGTAATGGAATGCGTCTGTTACATGAAAGATAATGTGTTTTGGATGTTTCTGAATTAAAACTTTTTGAATTTCTATTCTGTGGAAATCCTAACTAATCCTTTTATCCAAATTTAGAACAAAGGCAAAAGCTGGATTTCTTATGGGATACAAATTCTTAATCTGACTCTACTCCTTATTTTAATAGTTTGCTCAGCAGACAGAGCATTATATATCAATCAAATACATTGTCATTATCTTTTGTTCATTCATCGTTACAACTGGTAGGTAGTTTTGCCTATTCTGATATTAACTAGTGACAGTGCTGTGTAACCATATGAGTCCTTTATTATTCAACATATTGATGACTATGACTACCCTTCATCTATTTTTCATCTTCAAATAGTGAAAATTAAGGCTATTTCTAAAATGACCCATTAATATAAAATAAAAGCTTAAAGCTCAGCAAAATAATTTTGAATTAAGATTTCCCTCTCTGGTCTTTGTGAATCATCTCATTGTGTGCTTAGAACTCATACCCATAAGGTGATACAACAGGACTTGCAAGAAGGGATGTTGGGGAGAACTGGTTATTGGAGAGTCAGAGAGAAGGGACACATTTGCCATCATCTTCTGAATAGGCAGGTTACGTATCAGGCAAAGTGCCTGCATCTGTGGAGTCCCTGCTTAAGTCTTGCAAGCTTCAAACTCAATGAGCGTAGCAATACAACTGCTGTGCTGGGATGCCCTTACATCAATAAGGGGCTTAAAATGTGAATAATGCAGCTCAGGAGAGTTGTAGGGATTTATAACAGGCTTGTAAAAAAATCTATAGTCTTCTAGGGCTTCCTGGTTTTCATTACGGTGGTTAGAGTGGCTCCTGGGAAGGGAGGAGCAGTTGAGAGACTTTGCTCATTTTCCTGAGCCAAAGAGCATTACCATCCACAGCATCAGCAAAGGGCCTG